TAATGAATATACGTAGTCTAAAGTAATTTGCTGTACATTGAACATGAAGTGAATGGTTTAATGAATATACATAGTCTAAAGTAATTTGCTGTACATTGAACAAGGCAATGGTAGAGATGGTGAAATAACTCAGGAATTCTGGTAACCAACAACAGCCATTAACTATAGGAACAATAGTCCCTCATTTTTAATTATTGAAAGTACATTTCCTGAAAGAATTAGAAAAACGTTTAAGTCATGGGCTTAAAAGAGGGTGTAATTCACATAATAAATTGATATTCTTAGCTGAAAAACATCATTTTCAGGAAAATAAACAACACTATTTTAATAATTTACTAGGGGGCTGCACTATGCTTTCCAACCCCCCTCTGTCTGGCAGCTTTCACAGTCAGAAACCATGAGAGCTACATTCACCAACCCCCCTCTCAGTGGCTTTCTCAGTGGCTGCATCTCCTGCTCACTATGCTTACCAAACCTCCTCTCTCTGGCGGCTTTCACAGCCAGAGAGTGTGAAAGCATGATGACATCATTCTGTTGGCTGGCCATAAACCTCCTACCTTTATATATATATATATATATATACACACATAGGCTACGTCTAGACTGGCATGATTTTCTGCAAATGCTTTTAATGGAAAAGTTTTCCGTTAAAAGCATTTGCGGAAAAGAGCGTCTAGATTGGCATGGATGCTTTTTCGCAAAAGCACTTTTTGCGGAAAAGGGTCCTAGATTGGCACGGACGATTTTCCGCAAAAGCACTTTTTGTGGAAAAGCGTCCGTGCCAATCTAGACGCGCTTTTGCTCAAAAAAAGCCCCAATTGCCGTTTTCGCGATTGGGGCTTTTTTGCACAAAACAAATCTGAGCTGTGTACACTGGCCCATTTGCGCAAAAGCTTTGCGCAAAAGGAATTTTGCCCGAACAGGAGCAGCATAGCATTTCCGCAAGAAGCATTGATTTCAGACAGTAGGAAGTCAATGTTCTTGCAGAAATTCAAGCGGCCAGTGTAGACATCTGGCAAGTTTTAACTTTCCAGTCTAGACGCAGCCATAGAGAGAGAGAGAGAGAGAGAGAGAGAGAGATGGATTTTTAGTCTGTAGTATATAGAAGAAAAAAAAAGTTGCATTATGTGAAAAATATTTACTTTCTTCAATGAAGAAATCTTCAATTAAATCTAATATAATGCCCGATAGTTATATATTGTTTTAAAAGTCAATAGTTGTTTTATACTATGCATTTCCCTTCATTTAATGCTTTAAAAATTTGAGATATCATCACCCAGAAGGAGTTTTTTAATACAAATCACAGTGTTCAGCCCATAGTCTCATTAATATTACAAACAGGAACAATCTATGTTCTAAATTACTTATGGTAGGTGTTTTGCTTTGTACATGACAGAGCCTAGGTTAACACTTTAAAATATTAATATTTATAAACTTTTGATTCTTAAACCTAAGTGGGCTTTACCAGAACTGGAATATTTCTGAAACACCTGATCTAATACCATAACATCAAAACTGGGAGAAAATCTGAAATCTTTAGAGACAACTAACTCATAAAAGCCTATCATTAAAAAGTCACTCCTTTTAATTTAGGGTAGACATGGACCACAGAGGCAGTGTTTGGATCTGGATCTGGAGTAGGTGTAGCCTGTGTTTCATATTCCATGGCACTGAAAGAAGACAATTGTTCATGAAAGACAAAGTTATGGGTGCGAGGGGGAGGACTCAGCCACTGTGGGGAATCCCTTCTGGTTTATAGGTCATGCTTCAGGTCTTCATCCAGTCATCTGTAAGGGGTCAGGAAAGGATCTTTCCTTTCCAGTATATGCTATTTTGTCCCCCTCCTCAGATTGATCAGAGATGGCTACGTGTGGAGATGCAACACTAGATGAGGAGGGTGGTACTAGGAGGTGGCTCTGCATAGTTTCTCTCTCTGCTGTGTCAGGGCTGTTCCCCACTCTGGCACCCTGAGTGCAGAAGGTGAGGGCCCGCAAAAGAGCTTTAATACCTTGCCTCTGCAGGCACTGGTTACAAAATACTTCCCCCTAGAATCATAATACACAGATTTTGGGGAATCGCTGCCACTAAGTGTTTTTTTATCCCTAAAAACCAGGAGTGAACTCTTGAAACCACCCCCAGAGGTACCCCAAGCTCTTTTGCCCCAAAAGAGTTTGAAAAAAGAAAAGAGAAAAACAAACTGCAGTCTCTGGTAGCTGACCCCTCAGTCAGAGGCATGCAGACAGACAGACAGACCTTCAAGGACACAGGAATCAAAAGAAAAACTTGATAAAGTATTCTTGGTTCTGGTTGTTTCAGAGCAACTAAGGAAAACAAATGAAAACACAGAGAAAAATCGCTGGAACCAATGTTTAGATGGTAAAGGGGGAGGGAGGCATAGATTCACACAGAGCAGTTCAAACCAAACCACAAAATAAAGAAAATTATCCTGAATAGGACTGCAGTCAGTTTTCCCTTTACTTACTTGCAATTTTCTCTTTGTTCAGTCCACTCCCATGCCACAAATTCTTTGATGACATGATAGTCCTGCCTGGGCTTAAATCATTCAGTGTTTCTCAACTCCTAGTTTATCTCTCACACAAAAGAAAGTAGGCAAGGAAACTATATCCAATTCAAATTTCAACACTTTATCTCAATTGGTTCTCCTGGCCCGCTGGCCAACACCTTTGCTAGCTACCTGAGTTTAACCCCTTAGTCACCGGGGCTGTGTCTAGACTGCAGGCTTCTTTCAGAAGAAGCTTTTCCGGAAGTGATCTTCCGAAAAAACATCTTCCGAAAAAACTGCCAAAGTGCATCGAAAAGGCAATCTGCTTTTTTGAAAGAGAGCATCCACACTGAATGGATACTATCTCACATTTAAGTTGTGATTACTACAGAAGAAGTGGCCACCGGAGCACCTGTGCTTTTTCCTCTTTCTTCTTCTTTTGAAAGAACTCCTTCTTCCCCGTCCACACATGCCTTTTTCTGAAAGAGCTCTTTTGAAAGAAGGCTTCTTCCTCATAGAAAGAGTTTTACCAATGTTGGAAAAACCCATTTGTTCTTTCAATTTTTTTTGAAAGAATGCTATTGCAGCATGGACGCAAGTGAAGTTTTTTTTGAAAACCAGCAGTTTTTCCGAAAATACTTTGCAGTGTAGACATACCCTGTGGGTTGGTCAGGACTCCTTCTGTCCATTAGTCACACACACACACACACACATGCTTAGCTTACTAGTTCTAACTGATTGTAATGTTGGAAAGGAATCATCTTTCCCTCTCCTCCTCCCTGATCAGATGGACAGTTAACTTGGGTCTTTTGCTCCTTTTTCTGCAGCATGGACTGCAGATCACTTATTGGGTTTATCTGGGTATCTCTCACAAAATCAATTCTCTGCTGTTGCAGGGGCCTAAGGTGTTAGTGTACTTTAGTTCCCCATGAGCTCTGCCTGTGACACAATAGTTTCATCTGCTGTTGATAGTAGTACTTTGGTCTTGTTTGGGTTGTTGAATTTAGTGTGCAAGTGCCATCAGACAGTGATGGTAGCTTGTTACATATGGGAGATCAGAGCAGAGGATCTGTTGGTCCTTACTGACCTTAAACTTTATGACTCTAAGATTTTGCAAATAAAACCCAGAAATGTCACAAAAACTGCTGATATCAAGACATTTCTGTCATCTGTCTTAATGCCCTGAGTCCTAATTGACCATATAGGCTTACTAACATTCAGGCAAACAATGATCCCCTTGCACAAGTGAAAAGCATTAGAACAATGCTGCATAGAGGCTTTATACAAAAATATTGAGGTGTGGTTGGGCAAGTGCCAGATTATGCCGACTAGGAAGACAAATTTAGCTTAACCACAGGTTAAAAAGTTAAAAAGTTATGTAATGGGCATCTATAACAGGCCGTCTGAAGAATGGTTACATCATTGTTCTATGAGCCTTGTTCTGGATTAGGGAGAATTCCACTCATCAACCTTCACAGAGATTTCTTGTTCAAAGCTCATTTGCTTTCAGACTGAATGGTGGAAAAAGTTTTTCACTTTAAAAAGGAGTCTCAAAATGATCACAACACTCAGGTCAGGTTTTCTGTCACATGCACCCATCTTTTCCATTCTCTCCTTTTAAAGCTGTATCCATCCAGTCTTTATTCTTGAGGATGAAGTTAAAACAATGACTGACTTATGGACTCTACTTCAGAGAAATTGTTAGGCACCAAATGAAAATAAAACTTATTTGACCATATTTCCTATTACATACAAATAGCCATATGTTTTGTTTTAAAATGAGTTATTTCTGAGATAATTCAGTAAGTAACATCTGCACCACAGTTAAATAAAAATGTTAGTATTAAATTTATCTCAGGTCAGACGCCCAGAATATGGCTTTATAGACCACATAAGCTGTGGTTAAGCCTCTATTAATAACATAAATGGTGTATGGAATCATGTGTGTTCCCTCTGCGTACAACCCTTATTTAAGATACATATTGGAAACAATGGAACATACATAAACAAAATGGTGGAAACTATTAGAGTGGCCACTGGGAAATGGAAGTTGTCTGATAAAATATTTCTAGTAATACCCCTATAGTCTTTTTTGTTTGTTGAAATTGCAACGTGTAGTTATAGATTATAGTAATTTCTCCTCCCTTTTTCGAGAAGATGAACAGGAAAGTTATTAATACTGAACTGCCACCTTTTTTGTATATATTGTGTTAAACCTTTATAAATGCACAATGATTTTATAGCTCAAGCTTTTACGATTCGTAGGATAAAACCTTGGGAAGCAAAATAAGAATGGGAAGACAAAAAAGTTTAAATCCAAAGGGTTCTCAAGAGAGAAATTGTCTTGAAATTAGAATTTTTATCTCATTTATTGTGGAGGAAAAACAGAAAATTAGACTCTCAATTGAATTCTCAATTAAGGGTAAAGCATACATGTTCACAAAGAGATTATATTTTTTTCCAGATTTGTGACTGCATTTGTCATTTTTCTTCTCAGGTGGAAACTTTCCTGAAGACTTTTCTATATTAATTACAGTCAAACCTAAAAAGGGAATCCAGTCCTTCCTTTTATCTATCTACAATGAACAGGGTATTCAGCAAATAGGTGTGGAAGTTGGTAGATCCCCTGTCTTCCTGTTTGAAGATCAGTATGGAAAACCTGCCCCAGAAGATTATCCTCTTTTTAGGACAGTCAACATTGCTGATGGAAAGTAAGTGTAAAATAAATCAAGTTTAATATAACAAATTAAAAACACAGGAACTACTGTTTGGACTAATGTTCCATAACATAGTTGTAGAAGTAAATAAATCAGTTACATAATTTCCAGCTGACTGCACTACAGTGCCACAAAATCTAAGGTCCCTTTGCAGGAGAACTTACTTCCAGCTTCTACGGAATACAGGAAAACAAACAAATGCAGTCATATGATCATATTTGCCCTTTTCCATAAACTTAAGTGAATAATATGAAGCTATGAAGACACCTTGTTCTTGTCACCCTCAGCTCAAAAAGCATCCAGGGCTAGGGCCAGTGGAAAGTCACCTTTACATGCCCACCTCCTATACAAACATGCACCCAGCCCACACAGTCTTGCCCTGGTCTTCCAGGAGGTGATTCCCCAGAGTGAAGGCATGTTAGTAAGGCAATGTGGCATAGCGTACATTGCTGCTGAGCTGCTATGCCAGTTATTTGGATAATTAAGACAATTAAGGCTCTAGGAAAGTCAGTTTAGCACCTTTCATGACTTTTATTGTTATTTGTAAAGGCTCCCTGACACTAACTCTAATTATTTTAAAGGAACAGTCATCCTTTTAAAGTCATTTTTACATATACTATAATGCAGGAGTAACAGTTGCATTTTTCAGAAATGTACATATTGAATGTTGCAGCTGGAAGGTAAATAAATTCACATATAATGAAAAGACTAAAGATGATAACTAAAGAATAACCTGAAAAACCAAAGGAAAAGTTAAATTGTCTACTGTCTTCTGTGTTACTGCGCAATACATTGACTTCATAAGGCTAAAACAACAACTAGTATGTGTTCCATAAGAAGCAGGAAAACTGAAGCCGCAGGCCATTGTCATTCAATTTCTCTATAGCAAACAAGGGGTGAAATCCTGGCCCCATTAGTGTTTTGCTGTTGACATCTGGATAGCCACATTTCTCTCCAGGTGTTGAGGTTCTGATAAAGATGAAAAAACAGATTAACTTCACTCACAGTTGGTTTAAGGACTGGCATGCATGCTCCCAAGAGACAATGGATATCACTTTTGAATTCGAAAGGTAGATGCAGAGTGATGTGAGGCAACAGTGTGAGTGGACTCTTCCGTGCTTTTGGGCCTAGCAATTTTGGGTGGTTGTCTGATATTGTGCTTCAGACCCAGCTGTCCAACATAGTGCAATGATGAGCAATGCTTTGTCTTAGGGTATGTCTACACTACAGAGTTTTTTCAGAAAAATGACTATTTTTCTGAAAAAACTTCAATTACATCCACACTGCAATAGCATTCTTCTGAAAGAAAATTGAAAGAACAAAGGAGTTTTTCTGACATTGGTAATCCTTAGAAGAAGCCTTTTCCCAAAAGGGCTCTTTCAGAAAAAGGCGTGTGTGGATGGGGAAGAGGGAGTTCTTTTGAAAGAAGAGGAAAGAGTAAAAAGCACAGGTGCTCTGGTGGCCACTCCATCCATAGTAATCACAGCTTAAATGTGATTGTATGCCTTCAGTGTGGATGCTTTCTTTTGAAAAGGCAGATCACTTTTTCAATGCGCTTTTGCAGTGTGGACGTTCTCTTTTGGAAGAAGTTTTTTTGGCAGATCTCTTCCGGAAAAGCTTCTTCTGAAAGAAGCCTGCAGTCTAGACATAGCCTAAGAATGTAAATGTAATTTTCAAAGTCTAAACAATTAAGTCAAGACCATTGGCTTTTAAAATTATGTTGAACTGAGTTCCAAAATAAAAACAGAATTCCACTTCTGGCTCTATGGTAGTGGTGACCAGTAAGATTCCATTGCTTCAAGGTGCTCTTTTTGATATATAAAAGCCATTTTAAAAAAAGATCCATGCTATCTCACCCTTCATGGCCATAAATGCCAGCTAAAATTATTGAATTCTGGCACTCATCTTGCATCTTACTAATAGCACATATTTTCTCTGACATTCCTTGCCCTTGTATGTCAAGGATACTGTGCTTTGTTCATTGTACGCCCTATCTGAAGTACTCAGGTATTGCCCCTGTCATTGCAAACAGTCTTATTAAACTAATACATGATGTTTGTCATGATAACAAACGGCCATGCAGCCTACACTAGTGCTGGTTAAATACTGCACATTATTTGTGAAGGAATGTCTTTCAAATAAAAGCTTCAGATGGGTAGCCGAGTTAGTCTGTAACAGGAAAAACTTAAAAAACAACAAATAGTCTGGTAACACTTTAAAGATTAACAAAACATGTAGATGGTATCATGAGCTTTCATGGGCACAGAAGTGGGCTGTGCCCATGAAAGCTCATGATATCATCTACATGTTTTGTTAGTCTTTAAAGTACTATTTGTTTTTTTTTAAGTTTTTCAAATAAAAGTAATTTTTGTTGGCAGTATTCACAACCATTTTTATTCACTTTGTAAATATATGTGCAAACAAAATGATTTTTGCAAGAATTTTGGCAAACGTGAATATGTATCTATATGTTCACAAGTATTAATATTAGCAGTGTTTGTGCCTCCATCTAAGATAAATTTGGGAGTTATCCGAACAAGGAAGCCAGACATATGATTTTGGGTGACCAATCATAAAGTACAAAAAGCAAAATATGACTAACAAAGCCATTAAAAATAGCGAGTCATGTATAAGCAACCTATTGGCTTGTGCAATTATATTTCAGACTTTCCTCAAATAGTTTTGAATAACAAATTCACAAAAAATAACATCAGATCATTATGGCTGTGTCTAAACTACATCCCTTTTCTCAAAAAAGGGCTGTAAATTAGACACTTTGAAATTGCAAATAAAGCTGGGATTTAAATTTCTCGTGCTTCATTTGCATAATGGAGGCCTCAGTTTTTTTCTAAATGGGGCTTTTCAAAAGAAAAACAGCTGTTTAGACGGGGATCGATCGAAAATAAAACCCTTTTTCGAAAGATCCTGAACTCATTTTTTCAGGAGTACAGGCTCTTTTGAAAAAGGGTTTTATTTTTGATTGATCCCCGCCCCATCTAAACAGAGATTTTTCTTTCAAAAAGACCCATTTCATAAAAAAATGCCGACATTATGCAAATGAAGCACGGGAAATTTAAATCCTGGCTTAATTTGCAATTTCAAAGTGTCTAATTTACATCCCTTTTTCGAAAAGAGGGATATAGTTTAGACATAGCCTATGAATGGACTTGATCTAAAACCCACTGCAGTCAATGGGAATCTTTCCAGTGACATTAGTGGGCTTTGGGTCTGGTTCCTTGTGTCTAAAGCAGCACTTCCAGAGACAATATTTTATGGACTTGATACAGTTCACAAATCTGTAAGTATCACATATGATACTACTTAGTTTGAGAGAGAGTGAGAAATTCTTCCATCTTCTTGCAGCAATTTTACATATGTAGAACATTGTAGGAAAAAAAATCCCAAGTTAGTTGTCATAATTTCAGAATAATGAATTTTGCTGTCTTGCATGGATTATGGATCGGCTTTAATAAATAAAATACTAAATACAATTTTACTAATTTCATAAAGCTGATTGGCTGTTCCTTGTTTAGGAAATATATCAGATATTTCATCATTTGAACTACCTAACCTATTTATTATATATGTCTGTTTTATGCATTAGTATTGCAGTAAGGTTCTGATCCATCAAAACACGTAATCATGTAAATCCATGAGAACTTTTTCCTTTACTTCTCTGAGAGCTAGAGCAGACCATACATGATTAATTTTAAGCACATACTTAGATGTTTTGTTGAACAGGGACTTACATATGTTTCCATTCATTCTGTGCAAGCATATTGTACTTAGTTTTTAGTCCTATTCTATTTACAATCCTTTCTTAAATAAACTTCCAAAGGAATAGGTTGATTTGGAAATGAGAAGATAAAACATGAAAAGGAAATTAATGCTGACGTGTAGATTTTTGTGAACTGTAAGAGGTGAAATTTTTGATTGGCTTAAAACTTGTAATATTTCTTCCTTGCTATGGAACTCTGAATTTATATGTGTGTTTAGAAAAAAATTATGGAAGAGCTGTGTTCCTTTGCTAGGTGGCATCGAGTAGCTATCAGTGTGGATAAGAAAAGTGTTACCATGATAGTTGACTGTAAGAAGAAAACCACAAAGCCACTCGACAGGAGTGACAGAGCAATTGTTGACTCCAATGGCATCACTGTCTTTGGAACCAGGATTCTGGATGAAGAAGTTTTTGAGGTAAAAGTCTATCTATTACATAATAGGTGTTAAATGATTTGATGGTGAGTGGAAGTCCTGATAAAAGTTAACAGAAGCTTTTAGGAAATTCATAAGGAAGATTTGATATAATGCAGGATACTGAATCATTCTAGCATTCTTGTTCTCTCTGCACATTGATGTTCTGGGCTAAGCATATGTAGCAACATGAATTCCAGTACTGGAGAGTGGGGGAGGGAAAGCGCAGGGTGCAATGGAAGATACTATGAATATCATGGATGGTTATATTTGTCATGCCATTCATTCATTTTCCCAGTATCTCGAATACACTTTAGCAAAGAGGGTGTATACCTGTTTCCATTGTTGACAGGTCGGGAAGTGGAAAAGGTAAAATGCATCTGTTTAAGGAAATATCAACTCCTAATAATGAGGCAATATCACTACACAAAAGTTTAACAGATTGAGGTCATGAACTTCTTTTGATTTCTTTTATAATTCCATTATCTGCCAATCAAAACTGTCATATCTCAAATTAAAGCTAAACAATGAGAATAGACTAGAGGCACAGATAAGTTATTAAATGCTTTCTCATACAAAATTGATTGTCATAGGGAAAATAAAGTCAAGAGTAGGCCCATAGGTTTTTAGGCAACATGTATGTCTGACATTCAGCAGTTGAAAGAGGCAACGTGGGGTGTGGCTATTGTGCTGTGATTGCTTCCCTCAAAACCTACGAGTTCACAGTTCACTGTCTTTTCAAGGGGAGCATTATGAAGGCTGAGGAATGTTTCCTAGCCTCTACAAATGGATCTAACTACCTACAGTCCACATGGTACATCCTCTCCTCAGATTATTTCTGCTTAAATGGCTACATGAGGCTTGTGAAAGTTCTTTTAGGTTCTGCTGTGGGCAGTGCTTTGCATAATTAATTTACTCAAAATCTGAGACCCAACATTTCTTTGGTATTAAGTTGCAGTGATCCTATTTAGTAGTATGTACATAAGTAAAAGAAATTCAGGATGAGAAAATGGGACATACTACAAAAGAAAGAGATGATTTGATTATGGTTTATTCTGTTGGTGTTTTCAAGTAGGTTTACATTTTAGTTTAAATAATACACAAATCATAATCTTATTCTTACATATTTTGTGAAAAAATTCTTTTAATTCCCTGTACCATTGATAGTCTTCTTGTGTGTGATCTGTATAATCGCCTAGTATTTTTTCTCTTTGTCTTACCTGGTACAGTTAGGGTATGTCTACACTTGCCCCCTAGTTCGGACTAGGATGGCAAATGAAGCATACCAAAGTTGCTAATGAAGTGCAGGATTTAAATATCCCATGCTTGATTAGCATATTCGTGGCCAGTCACCATTTTAAAATGCCGGTCGCCCGATTTAACTTGCCACGTGTAGACGCGGTAGTCCGATCCAAAACCCTTCCCTCGAATTAACTGTTACTCCTCATTGCACAAGGAGTAACAGTTAATTCGAGGGAAGGGTTATGGATTGGACTACCGCATCTACCTGTGGCAAGTTAAATCGGGCGACCGGCATTTTAAAATGGTGACCGGCCGCGAATATGCTAATCAAACACGGAATATTTAAATCCCGCACTTCATTAGCAACTTCAGTATTCTTCATTTGCCTCTCTAGTCCGAACTAGGGGGCAAGTGTAGACATACCCTTACTGACTATTGGTGTTTCAATAGAGTGTTGCAAAGTATCATGCTTAGCTGTTTTTAAAATAAATGAAGGGGCTGCTAACACAGAAATGTGGGAAAGTGTCCAGTTAAATTATCTGTGCTTGCTTACTAAAACAAGCTAGGGAGCTAACATCCCTGGAGATGTTTGACTATAATTCTATGATCTCTCATCTATGTGTTTTAAAGTATTTTTACATTTTAAAATTTGAGAAGCTTTTTGTGGTAAAGGAAGGTTAAAACATGCAGACTCTCAAAAAATCAGGGGGAGAAAATGACCATAATTGAAAATGTCTTTTGGTGATCTTAATCATAAGGATTGTTGGCTTTTCTGTCAAGTCACTGCTTATCTATTTTATCTCAAAAATAAATAATCCCTGGTGTTTCAATTTCTCCTCATATGAAAATACCTAAATTTTATTCCTTCCCCTTTGTTGCTTTATGCTAAGCTACCTCCTTCCGTTCAAATAAGAATGCACATTTTCAAAGAAAGAAAAGAAAGAGAATATAATCTATGTGTGACTAAAGTTCCCATGTCTTGGTTAGTAACTCTAACAAGGGGCTGTGGCTTGACAAGGTATTGCACAGCACAATAATGCTGACATTTGTAAGCTAACATTTACATGAAATTTGGGACTAGATAGAGATACTAAAAATAAAGGACCTACATTCTATACACATGTGCATCTATGGAAATCTCCTGAACCAATGCAAATAGGTGGATGCATCACATCAGAAATTGGGTCAATCACTTAAAACAAAGTTTTCTGTGTATTTTTTATTACATGGAGTATGCATGTTCAAAAATGTGTTTATCAAGGGGCTAACAATGGTCGTCTAGACTTTTCAAAAAATCTCCTACCTTGAATTTCCAAAGCAATGTTTCAGTTCCACGTCCTAACTACCCGAAAAGGAAGTTGGGTATGACTCATTAAAGAAATAAAGTAGTTGCCTGTAAACCCTTTTTTAGAATGTAAACATTCAGCACTGAGAACAGCAACATTTGAACAGTTTGTATTGTAGTTTCAGAAATGCTTCTTTTAGAGATTCATTTTCTCATGGGTCTATGCCAAGATATTGTACCCCATTTCCCTAAGCTTCAACTGTGATAACCAGTAACAGCATTTTCTTGTAAATGAGCACCTCATAGTATTTGAGTTAGGATAGACATTTTCACTTGGTTATTAGCCTTAAACCCTCATCTTTCTGGGGCATCTTTTTGCCTCCCCTTCTATCATCTGTCCTCCATCAAATATTTCTATAAGCAAGAGCTTGCTCTACCGCAACTGCTAAAGGCTTTGGTCTACAGAGGGCTGTAAAACGTGAAGACTCTCATTTGTTCAAGGCATTCAAGGGTTCTGAATAGTGTACCCTTTAATTTTTTTCATCCTTGTGTGAAATACATGATGTTATGTGTACAGACGCATGTGCTGTTGTGCATCACCAGTAAAAGCAAAAATCTAGATTTAATGTATATATTTAAAAAATTACCATATGGATAGTTACCCCAGCCAGATCAGGTTAGATACTTCAGAACTCACTACTCAAAGAATTAAAATTAAGTGCAAGAGAGATTAAAATTATGGACTGCGTAGGCAAGTCAAAATTTTAAAATAACACACCGCAAGAGAATATATGTGCATCTCAGGAAGTACCAAGTAGTAACAACAATAATGCAAGCATGTGTAAAGGGGTGATTGTGAAAGAGGCAGTGTTTGCATGTGTGTGTGTGTGTGTGTGTGTGTGTGTGTGTGAGTGAGAGAGAGCGAGAGAGAGAGAGAGAGAGAGAGAGAGAGAGTGTATAGGTATGGATGGGTGACATGCTGTGTGTAATAGAGACGTGTGTGATATAGTGTGTGTGTGAGAGAAGAGAGACAGTGTGTGTGTGACACAGAAGCAGTATGTGTGCAGAGGGGGATCAACAGCCTCACCGGACTCCTGGGCAAGGTGGGGTGCCCAACTCTGTGTTCCTGGACAGCGTGAGGCCTCAGGTGCAAGGGATGGAGCTGAGAAAAGCAGTTCTTAGGGCTGCTCAGAGTGCAGAGCACCCCCTGAATTCTGCGGCACTCTGGTGGTGATTTAAAGGGCCCAGGACTAGGTGGTGACGGGGAAGCCTGGGCCCTTTTGAATTGCCAGGCCCCAGGATGGTTTGCCCCCCCCCCCCGATCTTCTTTTCCCATCATCTGGCCTGTGTGTGCAGCACAGAGACAGTGTGTGTGTTGGCTGTTGCTGGATAAGTTTCTGAGAAACCCCTTGTGTTGACTCTTTAAGAGACTGAAAGCTCTCCTGCCCTGTTTCTGAGCCCAGTTGTCTGCCCTCCCCCTGCTTTGCAGAAAAGAGGTACATGAGTAGGCAGGGAGAGAGACTGGGACATACTGTGTGTTTGTGTATGTATGTGTGAGTTAGTGAGAGACTTTGTAAATTGGTTCCTGGGGAAATCTCAGGTCAAACCATGTACTACCTCTTTAAGAAAGGGACTCACCCTTCCGAGTGGACCTCAGACCTCAGCAATAATCTTCTTGAGCCAGGGTTTGTCCCCTTTCCCTGCTCTGAGGATGTAAGGGGATGCAGGGGAAAAGGAGGGAGAGAAAGAGAGAGATTGTGTATGTGTACAGTGTGTGTTAGACAGATAGACACGCCATGTGAACTGGCTGCTGGGGAAATCTTAGAAATGATGCACAGCCTCTCTAACAAAGGCAAGCATCACTCACAGTTCAGACTGCTGCAGCTTGAACAGCCTGGTGGTCTCCATCTTCAGCCAGGCAGTGTGAGTCCCCCTTCTCCCTTGCTCTCTGTAGTTGGGATACAGGAGCAGGGAGACATGCTAACATCAACATTCTTCTCCCCCTCTGTACAGCTAGCAGGAGGGTTCCTCCCAGGAGAAGCTGCAGGACAGCATAAGTTGGGGGAGAGAGGCACCTGGACTACTACTTATAGGTATTAAAATGCAAACCATTTGGGGGAAAAAATAAGGATCTGTATATTTTCAGAGACCGATTTGTTTGGGACTTTCTTTAAGGTGCTAAAATGCCCTGCTACAATTCATTTCATAGCCTGTGCTTTGTACTTCACACACTGGCTGAGATAGACATGCCAGAAAATATAACAAATACTGTTCTTGCAGCATTTCAATTAGGACTGGTAAAAAAACTCTTGAAACTATCCCATTAATACTTGATATAGGAGAGAATTCTACTACCATCAGTTCTGCTCTAGGTCAGCTGTATGGAGAGTTTTTATTCTAGAAAAAAATCAGAGATTGGAGCCTCACTGTGCTAAGTGCTCTGTGTGTGTGTGTGTGTGCGCGTGTGCACACACAC